GTTTTTACTCCAACTTAGATCTGTACAGAAGATCACCTGGACATCGGGCTCACGAATCATTATGGCATCAAAGGTTAGGGCATTCTAGCAACACGATAATAGCAGGAATGCTCCATAAGGAGCCTGGGGGTGCGGAGCCTGGGGGCACAAGGTCTGCTCGTGTGGCTGTCGGCGATGCCTCGTCAAGGCGGGAGCCACTCTCTCCACAGGAGTTGCGCGAGTGGTTTGCCAGCCGCTGGAGACGTGCTGTTGGAGCTGGAGGTGCTACTGCTGCTGCTAGTCCCGGAGGTGCTCCTACTGACAGTCCAGGAGCTGCTGGGACTGGGGGTGCTACTGGGGCTACTGGAGTTGGTCCTGCTGGAGTTGCTATAGGTGCTGGTGCTGCTGGAGCTGGAGCTACTTGGGGTGTTGGCGCTGGTGTTTCTCCTGGCCCTGGTGCGTCTAGGGGTGCTGCTGAGGCTGCTGGAGCTAACGGTCCTACTCGAGCTGGTGCTGCTGGAGCTGGAGCTGCTAGAGCTGGAGCTGCTGGAGGTGTTGGCGCTGGCGATGCTGCTAGAGCTAGTGCTTGTGTGTGTGCTGGAGTTGGCGCTGTTGGAGCTCGAGGTGCTGCTGGCGGTGGTGCTGCCGTTGGGGGTACTGGTGCTGTCCTTGCTGGCTCTGGAGGCGCTTCGCGGCCAAGGCCATACTTCGTTCTACTCCTGGAGCAGGTTCTTGGTCTCCCGCCCTCTACTGGTCCTGCTCCTCCCTTAGAGTGTCCACAGCCTGTCCAGTCACAGTCACAGTTACAGCCCGCCTCCCCTCTACCTGCTCCTTATCCCTACACTGGTCCTACTGGAGGTCTTGCTGAGCGTCGTGAGCCTGCGTCTCGTCCTGTCTCGCCTGTTCGTGCTGCTCGCACTAGTGGTCGTACTGCGCATCCGCATCCTGCTGCGGTCCCCGCCACACACCAGATGGCGCTGCGTCCTTCCACTGCTCCTCTGCGTGTCCTGTTGCCGTCTCCTCCAGAGTCCTCTTCCTACTCTTGCTGACCCGGAGTCTGACTCTCTTCATGCTGGTAGTCCTTCGATCACGCGTCTCCTTGCTCCTATTGTCACTGACCCTTCCTTTGAGTCCACTGCTGCGTCTGCTCTAGTTGCTGAGCTTGTTGACTTCGCTGCTCGCTCTCGTCTAGACTACGCTGCTAGTCTCGTTGCAAAGTCTGCGTCTGTCTGTCCTCCGTCCGTCGGGGGTGAGTGTGCTCTTAGCACGAACGTCCTTGTGGACAGGCAGGAGGAGTTCCAGTGCTTTGCTGCTGCTTTGCCCCATCTCGTGTCCACGCTGATTGCCCCTGAGGGAGACTCGGATGCACTAGACATCCCGACTCCTCGATCGTACGATGAGGCGATTAAGGGTCCCTACTCCTCTCAGTGGCAGTCGGCCATGGACGCAGAGATGGCTTCCTGGAAGTCCACAGGCACCTACGTTGACGAGGTTCCCCCACCTGGGGCGAACATCGTCAGTGGCATGTGGATCTTCACGGTGAAGCGACTGCCGGGTTTTCCGCCTGTCTTCAAGGCGCGTTACGTCGCTCGAGGCTTCAGTCAGCGGAAGAGAGTTGTCAACTTTTAGACCTTCTCTCCCACCCCGAAGATGACCACTCTTCAGGTGCTGCTGCACATAGCCGCTCAGCGCGACTACGAGCTTCACTCTCTTGACTTCAGCACGGCTTTCCTTCAGGGCAGCCTGCACGAGGAGATCTGGCTGCGCCGCCCACCTCGCTTCACTGGGTCATTTCCTCCTGGTACCCAGTGGAGCCTCCGGCGGCCAGTCTACGGTCTTCGCCAGGCGCCCAGTAAGTGGCACAACACATTCAGGACTACATTTGCGGCTCTTGGGTTTGCTCCTTCTACAGCCGACCCGTCGCTGTTTCAGCGCAACGACACCTCTCTGCCGCCGTTCTATATCTTCGTGTACGTCGACGACTTGGTCTTTGCCACTGGTGACACTGCTGGACTCGCCCACGTGAAGTCCGAGCTGCTGAAGAGACACACGTGCACAGACCTGGGTGAACTGCGCAGCTACCTTGGCTTGCAGATCACCCGGGACAGAGCACGCCGCACCATTACCCTGACTCAGTCACACATGGTGCAGCAGGTCCTTCAGTGCTTCGGCTTCACGTATTCCTCGCCTCAGGCCACTCCTCTGCCTGCCATTCGATCTCAACTCTCCTTTCGGATGAGTCCGTAGAGTTGAGTGGCCCGTACCCAGAGCTTGTTGGCTGCCTCATGTACGTGATGACCTGCACACGACCTGACCTTGCATACCCTCTTATCATTCTTGCACGCTATGTTGCTCCTCGGAGACACATACCGGAGCACATGGCTGCAGCGAAGAGGGTGTTGCGCTACTTGTGCAGTACGTCGGGCATGGGGCTAGTGCTTGGAGGGAAGAGTCCATTGGTCCTCACTGGGCACGTAGACGCTTCTTGGGCTGACGACTAGACTACACAGCAGTCATCACAGGGTTACACCTTCAGCCTTGGTTCCTGCTCTGTTTCGTGGCGGGCTACTCGCTCGTCTTCCATTCTCGGCTCCAGTTGTGAGGCAAAGATCTACGCAGGAGTGATGGCTGCTCAGGAGCTTCGCTGGCTCACCTACGTGCTGACTCACCTCGGAGAGCCGCCTCGTTCTCCTCCAGTGCTGTACGTAGACAACAAGGCCATGCTGGCCTTATGTCGGGAGCAGCGCCTGATGCACAGAACGAAGCACATTGCTCTCCGCTACTTTCTTGCTCGTGAGCTGCAGCAGCGTGGTCAGTTGCGACTTGCGTACGTGGCCGCTGAGGCCAACACTGCTCATATCTTCATCAGCGCCTTGCGCCTTGTGATCATCAGCGCTTGTGTACTCAGCTTGGTCTTGTGCCTCTCTTGCCTCACTTGCTCACTTCTTGACCTTGCTTGTACTGTCACATATATATACTCCTGCTCTTGCTTGTTTAGCCTTTTATATATATATGTGCTCCTGCACGTGAACTGGCCTTCTGGCCTTGAACTTGTGCTCGGAATGTGTGGTGACTTTGTGATCCACCCTGAGCTTTGCTTTGCTGTGCTTGACTGGTCTTGTGACCCCTTGTTCTCCCCCACTTTGTTAATGGGGGTGTGTTAAATTATAATGTTGTGTAGGCTGTAGTGGGGTAGCTTATATGGGGTACACATTTCTAGGGTTGCATATTTGTACCACTTTCATTCCTTAGTGCAGCCATTCTCTCGTTTCTGTTTCCTCAAATACATGGCAGCAAGGATAGCATCATAGTCAAGATCAAAGATGGCAACGCGTCTGTTAGGTGACCAAAGCAGCGCTTGGTGGAGTGCGGGCCCCCGCACTGCTCACCTGCTAAGTTGCCGGTACGGAGGACGTAAGTGCAGGGAACAGTACCCCCACCGCACTGACGCGCGGCGTACCACTCACGAAGCTGCTAAGGGGACAAACTCACACCACTCCGCTGCTGCTGGCGCGGACCACCACCTGAGCCACTCCTCTGCGCAGAGTCGCGACCCGCTCCACCACCGCGACCGCCGCCGCCGCCACCTCCGCCGCCTCCTCCACCTCCGCCTCCTTCGCCACCTCCGCCGCCTCCACTCCCTCCGCCACCACCGCCGCCTCCTCCGCCTCCACTTCTGCTGCCGCCGCCGCCACCCCCGCCACCATTCCCACCACTACCCCCACCCCCTCCACTGCCTCCACCACCACCTCCACCGGCCCCGCCAGCCCCTCCAGCGCCCTTGCCCCCCTTGCCCTTGCCGGTGCGGCGTCTCCCGCTAGGGGCAGACGCAGCGCCGACCGACTCGAAACCAACGAGGCCGGCCGCAGTAGTAGAAGCAACAGAGGGCAAGAGGGGGGAGGGGGAACACCCCTCAGAGACGCGGGTGCGAGGGTACGAGAGGCTCCTACAGCGACTATGCTCTTCTCTACTACTAGGAGGCCCTTCTCGAGGAGGTCAACGGTGAGAGTGGTGGGGCCAACTGAGAGGAAGTGGTCCCTGACTACGCGAAGAGAGTCAGGGAGCCAGGTGACGATGTATTAGAGGGTGATGTACATGGGGGGGGGGGGTTCTTGGCGCAGAACTCAGCGACTGTCACTAGTACAGAGGTGCGTAATGAGGTCAGCAACTGTGGGAAAGGCACCAAGGTCAGGGAAGAGGTACGGTAGCATGAGGCGGCTCTGTGGAGTAGTGGCAGGGAAAGAGTAGCGTGAAACTACAGCGTCGTACAAGGTCTGGGCTCTCTTGTACTGGCTAAAGTGGCACGCTCAATGGTCGGTAAGTGGCGACGCACAGCAAGGCGAGCAGCAGCATCGCATGTGGCCCACTGTGAGCGAGCGGTGCTGTCTGCAGTAGCAGGCGGGGAAGGAGAGACACCAGAGTTGAGATCAAATAGAGAGAGTCCGTCTGCTCTATCGCACTGGAGAAACAGCTGGAGGTCATCGACCCAGACCCGAAAGTCATGGGCACGGCCCTCAGCATCAAAAGTAAGAACACTGGGGGTAGCCATGACTGCAGGGGCCTAGTAGGGAGTGAGCTCACCAGTCCGAGGAAGGAACATCGGTAGGAACAGCAGCGGCTCGACAGTAGGGCGGCTCGGCGGCAGGGCGGCTCGGCTGCTGGGCGGCTCGGCTCCTGGGTGGCTCGTCAGCAAGGCCGCTCCGCTGCTGGGCGGCTCGGCTGCTAAGCGGCTCGGCAACAGAGCGGCTCGGCTGCTAGGCGGCTCGGCTGCTCGGCGGCTCGGTTGCTGGGCGGCTCGGCTGCTCGGCGGCTCAGCTGCTGGGCGGCTCGGCTGCTAGGCGGCTCGGCGGCAGAGCGGCTCGACTGCTAGGCGGCTCGGCTGCTCGGCGGCACGGCTGCTGGGCGGCTCTGCTGCTTGGCGGCTTGGCTGCTGGGCGGCTTGGCTGCTCGGCAGGTGGGCGGCTCGACTGCTGGGCTGCTCAGCGGCTCGGTTGGTGGGCGGCTGAGCGGTGACAGGGCCGCTAAGGGAGGGCGACGGGGCCGCAGGTGACGGCGACGGGGCCGTAGGTGGCGGCGACGGGGCCGCAGGTGGCGGCGACGGGGCCGTAGGTGGCGGCGGGGCCGCAGGTGGCGGCTGCGTGGCCGAAGGTGGCGGCGACGGGGCCGCTTGTGGCGGCGACGGGGCCGCTTGTGGCGGCGACGGGGCCGCAGGTGGGGGCGGGGCCGCAGGTGGCAGCGGTGTGGCCGCAGGTGGCGGCGACGGGGCCGCACGTGGTGGCGACGGGGCCGCAGGTGGCGGCGATGGGGCCGCAAGGGGCCTAGATGGGGCAATGGAGGGGCCGTAAGGGGCCTAGAGTGGGCTGTAGAGGGGTCGCAAGGGGCCTAGACGGGGCCGAAGAGGGGCCGCAAGAGGCCTAAACGGGGCAGCGAGGGGGCCGTAAGGGGCCGGAAAGAGCGCCGCGAGGGGCCGAAAGGGGCCGCGCGAGGGCCGTAAGGGCAACGCGAGGGGCCTTAAGGGGCCGTAAAGGGGCTGTGAGGGCGGCGCGAGGGGCCGTAAGGGCGGCGCGAGGGGCCGTAAGGGTGGCCAAAGGGGCCGTGAGAGGGGCCACTAAGGGCGGCTCGAAGGTAGGGAGGGCACACAGAGCGCGACTCGGGCAGGATTGAAGCGCGCTCCGGGCAGGAAAAAAAAAAGTATCTTGGTGGGCCCTAGGTAGCATTCCCACTAGGGAACGTGCTCGATACCATGACGAGAAACGAGAATGAATGCATTGAGCAGAAAGAGGAGTACAAGTAGGAAACCCTAAAGTGTTGTACCCCATATGAACTGCCCCACTACAGTCTACACAGACTATAGCATATATGCCTGACAATATGTCTACCCAACCACTAGTGGCCCGAGGCAACGGACCATGCTGTGCTGCTGCACAATTTGCTCTCGTCATCATCGCTCCCGAACAACGCATCACCGCATCTGCTGTGGACAGGAAAATTGGGCAACACAAAACTGTTACGATTTTTTGGCTGCATGGACAGGAAATTATATGCGCACCCCTTAGAATCCCTGAACCTATTATGAGCGCATCTCTTCTCCTCAGGGGGTAATTTTCTCACTATTATTTTGCTAGAAACTAAGGGGTAGGCTACAACATGAAATCTACACAAGCCTCTCATCCAATATTCTCTCTACACAGCTTCCTAGCTAGAACCTACTCGTCGTCAAACTCAGGCTCCTCGCAGTTGTTGCCAAAGAATCGTTTGGCGACGATCTCGTCATCGACATCGACCTTGTGGGTCAGCTCGCTCCACCTGTGCGCCATGGCGAGGGCGTCCTTACTGCCGTTAAGCGCGTTGCTAATGCCACAGGTGAGGAAGGCCTTCTTGATAAGCTCAGGTGGCATGGCCTTCCAGGCCCGTGAGATCCACCTGAGCACCACCGCAGGGGGCGGCTTCTTGATGCTCCCTGCACCACATGTCAGAACGGGACCGTTAGAATATACGAGGGGGATTTTTGCCGGCCGCAAACGGTCAACGGTAGAGGGTTTTACCAGGAGGCGTCAACCGCTCCTGGCCTTCCTCCTCAAACCAGCTCTGGTACTGCTGGCGGATGGAGGCCTTGAATGACTTGTTGATCGAAACGTCGAGGGGCTATGCCTTCGCCATACAGCCCGACGGGATCACCGCCGGCACGATGTTGAGGGTGGCGAACTTCTCCTTCACGGCGTCCGTGAGGTGCCCGTGGTAAGAATCCAGAACGACCATGGCGCTCCTCGCTTGCCTGCCGAACCGGGGCCGGGTGAAGGGCTTGATGCACTCCTCAAACCAGACGATGACTCCGTTGACATCCATCCAGCCGTTTGGGTGGACCGCCACGACCACATCTACCATACCAAGCGCAGTAAAAAGAACGGTGTTAGTTATAGCACGTGAAAAAATAAACACACAGCAAGAGGGGCTATGACGTACCTAACGGGAAATCACCCTTCGGCACCATCTTGCGCTTGAAGAAGACTCACGGCTTGAACTTCTCCCTGTCGGCTATGCAAGCCAACATGACGGTCACGCGTTCCTTCTGGTACCCCGCGCTCCTAATGGGCACCGAGCGAACACCCGTCTAGTCCACAGTGGTGGTGGTGTCAGATTATTATAGCTGATGCATGTTTGTAGGCTATAGTGGGGTAGCACATATGGGGTACAGCTTTCTAGGGTTGTATTTGTACCCAACTCTGACTTAGTCATTCCATTCCCTGTTCATTTCTCTCACATGGTATAGAGCGAGTTCCCTGTGGGAACGTTTCCTAGGGCCCACCAAAGCGCGCCCCGAGGCGCGCATTTATTTAGCGACCCCTCGGGTCGCCATTTCCCTCGCGGCCCCGCTGTCCCTCAGACGCGGCCCCGCCACCCCTCCTGATCGCGGCCACGCCGCCTGCTTGACGCGGCCCCGCCGCCTACTCTGACGCGGCCCCGCCGCCTACACTGACGCGGCCCCGCCGCCTACACTGACGCAGCCCCGCCGCCGGCTCTTACGCGGCCCCGCCGCCCGCTACGTCGCGGCCCGCCGCCGGCTCTGACGCGGCCCCGCCGTCGACTCTGACGCGGCCCCGCCGCCGGCTCTTAGCCGGCCTCGCCGCCGGCTCCAACGCGGCCCCGCCGCCCGCCACGACGAGGCCCCGCCGCCGGCTCTGACGCGGCCCCGCCGCCGGCTCTGACGCGGCCCCGCCCCGTCTCTCACGCGGCCCCGCCCCGGCTCCCTCGCGGCCCCGCCGCCGGCCCTGACGCGGCCCCGCCCCGGCTCTCACGCGGCCCCGCCCCGGCTCTCTAGCGGCCCCGCCCCGTCTCTCACGCGGCCCCGCCCCGGCTCTCACCAGGCCCCGCCGCCGGCTCTGACGCGGCCCCGCCCCGGCTCTCACGCGGCCCCGCTCCGGCTCTCTAGCGGCCCCGCCGCCGGCTCTGCCGCGGCCCCGCCCCGTCTCTCACGCGGCCCCGCCCCGGCTCTCACACGGCCCCGCCGCCGGCTCTGTCGCGGCCCCGCCCCGGCTCTCACGCGGCCCCGCCCCGGCTCTCTCGCGGCCCCGCCACCCTACCTGCAGCAGCCGAGCCGCCCACCTGCAGCAGCCGAGCAGCAGTGCAGCCGAGCCGCCCCGCCGCCGAGCCGCCCGGGCGCCGAGCCGCCCTGCACCCGAGCCGCCGTGCCGCCGAGCCGCCCGGGAGCCGAGCCGCCCTGCACCCGAGCCGCCCAGCCGCCGAGCCGCCCGGGAGCCGAGCCGCCCTGCACCCGAGCCGCCCTGCCGCCGAGCCGCCTGGGAGCCGAGCCGCCCTACACCCGAGCCGCCCTGCACCCGAGCCGCCCGGTCGCCGAGCCGCCTTTCTGCAGAGCGGCCTGGCCTGCCCTGCCTGGTGAGCACAGTCCCACTCTCACTACGTCGCTATCGTCGTCATGGCTACCCCTAATGTCCTAGCTTTTGACGCTGAGGGTCGCGCCATCGACTTTGAGGTCTGGGTCGATGACCTACAGCTGTTTTTACAATGTGATAGGGCAGACGGCCTCTCTCTCTTTGACCTCACTTCTGGCGCCTCTCCTGCCCCTGCTGCTGATGCTGATCCCACTGTGCGCTCTCAGTGGGCCACCCGCGATGCTGCTGCACGTCTTGCTGTGCGTCGCCACCTCCCTACCTCTGAGCGCGCACACTTTAGTCAGTACAAGAGTGCTCAGACCTTGTACGACGCTGTAGTTACGCGCTACTCCTCCCCTGCCACTGCTGCACTGAGCCGTCTCATGCTTCCCTACCTCTTTCCTGACCTCTCTGCCTTTCCCACTGTCGCTGACCTCATTACGCACCTCCGCACTAGTGACACTCGCTACCGCGCCGCCCTTCCTGCTGAGTTCTGCGCTAAGAACCCCCCCCCCCATGTACATCACTCTCTACTACGTAGTCGCGCGCCTCCTTGACTCCCTTCGTGTAGTCAGGGACCACTTTCTCGCAGTCTGTCCCACCACCCTCGCCGTCGACGTCCTCGAGAAGGCCCTCCTCGCAGCGGAGAAGAGCATAGTCGCTGTAGGAGCTTCTCGTGGTGACCCTCGCACCCCCATCTTTGAGGGGTGCTCTCCTTCCCCCTTGCTGCCCTCTGTTGCCTCTGCTGCTGCTGCCGACCTACTTGGTCTTGAGTCGGTCGGCGCAGCGTCTGCCCCTAGTGGGAGACGCCGCTCTGGCAAGGGCAAGGGGGGCAAGGGCGCGGGTGGAGCTGGAGGGGGCGGTGGCGGTGGCGGCGGAGGCGGCGGAGGGAGTGGGGGTGGCGGCGGGAGTAGTGGTGGGGGTGGTGGTGGTGGTGGCAGCAGCGGCGGAGGCGGCGATGGTGGTGGCGGCGGTGGTGGTGGTGGTGGCAGCGGCGGAGGTGGAGGCGGCGGAGGAGGCAGCGGAGGAGGCGGTGGTGGTGGAGGGGGTGGAGCTGGTCGGGGTGGTACCCAGCAGCGGAGCGGCGGTGGTGGTGGCCAGTGCTCGCAGCAGCAGCAGCAGCAGCAGCGTTCGCGGGACATCCCTCCGCCTCAGCAGCTTCGTGAGTGGTACACTCAGCGTCAGAGGGGTGGGGGTACTGGTCCTTGCACCTACGTCCTTCGTTCCGGCGACCGCGCGGGTGAGCAGTGTGGGGGTGCCCACCCCACCTAGCGCTGCTTTGGCCGCCTGACGGACGCTTGGCGTCAGCAGTTCCCCGGGGCTAGTGAGATCCCTCGCTGGGATGAGCTTCTTAGGGCTGGTGTAGCGATCTTTGATCTTGATTTTGATGCTATCCTTGCTGCTATGTATGCTGTGACTATTAGTGAGGAGAATGAGGGTTACCGGTGTTTCCAGCCCGACCCGGGCATTGGTACTGCTGCGCTAGGTGCTTGTGAGGCTGCTGCTCTAGGTGCCAGTGCGTCTGCGCTCTCAGGTACTGGTGAGACTGCGCTCTCAGGTACTGCGTCGCCCTCGTCCTCCCTCACTTTCACACTTGACTCCGGGGCTTCTCGCTCCTTCTTTCGAGACCGCACCACCCTCACGCTGCTTGGCCGGCCGGTTGCCGTCTCCCTGGCTGACCCCTCTGGGGGTCCTGTCCTCTCTCACTTCTCCACTGTCCTCCCGTGTCCGGCTGCCCCCTCGGGCACCCTGTCTGGTCTGTACCTTCCCTCGTTCTTGACGAACTTGGTGAGTGGTGCGGACCTGCAGGATGCGGGGGTTCACCAGTTCACTCCTGCGAGTCAGCGGGTGACCCACTGCACGGACGCACGCACAGGCCGGCACCTGGCCACGTTCTCGCGTCGGCCGGGGTCGAGCCTCTACACCCTGACCACTGCGTCTCCTCCTGTCCCTGCGTCTGGTCAGGTAGCTGCGTCAGGTCAGGTACTTGCTGCTGCGTCCCGGTCAGGTCCTGAGTCTGCCCCCTGTTCTTGTCGCCTCCTGTCTCACGAGACTCTCCTGTGGCACCACCGTCTTGGCCACCCCTCCTTGCCCCGTCTTCGGAGCATGGTTTCCCGTGTCCTTGTCTCTGGTCTTCCCCGGTCTCTCCCTCCCCTTCCCTCCGGGCCAGGACCTTCCTGTGTCCCCTGTGTCGAGGGTCGCCTCCGGGCTACTCCTCACTCCTCCCAGTTCCCCCCGACAGAGGCTCCTCTGCAGACGCTTCACATGGACGTGTGGGGCCCAGCCCCCGTACGTGGGCAGGGTCACGAGCGCTACTTCCTGTTGGTGGTTGACGACTACTCGCGTTACACCACAGTCCTCCCCTTGCGCAGCAAGGGTGCTGTCAGTGAGGTGCTGATCGACTGGATCCGCGAGGCTCGTCTCCAGCTCAGGAAGAGCTTCGGCTCGGACTTTCCTGTTCTGCGTCTGCACTCGGACAGAGGCGGAGAGTTCTCCTCTCGCCTTCTGCGAGACTACTGTCGTGCACGGGGGATCCGCCAGACCTTCACGCTTCCGGACTCTCCACAACAAAATGGGATTGCTGAGCACCGCATTGGCATGTACATGGATGTCGCTCGTACGTCCATGATGCATGCGGCTGCCCCCCATTTTCTGTGGCCGTTTGCGGTGAGGTACGCAGCGCATCAGCTCAACCTTCACCCCCGGGTCTCTCGACCCGCGATGTCCCCAGTCTTGCTGTGGACGGGGAAGGTTGGCGATGCGTCGGCGTTCCGTGTCTGG